CGTCAAGGATTTCACTTCACATGAACCCACCGCCAGGCCCCTAGAAGCAGCAGTCAGGAAATCCAACAACGTACTGCACTGAGAAATTCTGCTCCCAGCGACCTCTTTGCAAAAGCGAGCATGTCATTTTGGAAAGTAAGATGCCCCTGATCCAAACCATGGTGCTTTCAGTCATCTCGCATACATGTGAAATCTCAACAATGGATAAGGAAGCCCCCCAAAAGAAGAATGGATGCCTTCCAGCTATGGTATTGGCAAAGAATATTGAATATATTGAATGAAGCACAGGTCGCGTGGACTTTGAGAGAATAAACAAATTTGTGTTGGACTAAGTACAGCTAAAAATACGGATTAGAAGCAAAGGTAGTAAGACTTCGTCTCATGTACTTTGGACATGTTATCCGGAGGGTTCAGTCTCTGGAGAAGGCCATCACGTTTGGTAAAGCAGCTGATCAGTAAAAAATAAGAAGATTCTCAACAAGATGACTTGATACTGTGGCTACAACAAGGGGCTCGAGCACAGCAATAATTGAGGGGCCCTTTGATATAGTGTGCTGTGCAATGGGCTACTAACCACAAGGTCAGAAGTACAAAACCACCAGCCACTTCAAGGGAGAAAAGGCAGCCTTCTGTGGTTGTTGTTGTTGTTGTTGTTATTGTTAGGTGCCTTCAAATCTGTTCCAACTCATAGTGACCCTATATACAACATAACAAACACTGTCTGGTCCTGTACCATCCTCACAAGCATCCTTATGTTCGAGCCCATCAATGCACGGACTGTGTCAACTGATCTTGCTGAAGGCCCTCCACTTTTGCGCTGCTCCACTACTGTACCAGCATGGTGTCCTTCTCCAAGGATTAGTCTCTCCTGGTGACCTATCCAAAATATGTAAGAGGAAGTTTTGCCATCCTTGTAGAAGTTACATAATCTGTCTACTTGCTAAGGGGTGAAGTCTAGCCTGTCAATCAGGTCACAGCCAATGATGCCTATGTGTAGATACGGCCTTCTCCTGAGGATTCTGGGGACTCCTGTCTTCCTCCTGCCGGTGGGACACACTCTCTCTCTGCTTCCTCTCCCTGAAAAATATTCCTGTTGACAAGCCGCATGGAGCTACACTGATGGAGCCAGAAACCTGGAGCTGGAGGAACCATGCGAAGACCCATGCCAGCGTTGAGATGCTTCCACCACCACTGGATTCACAAGACTTTCCATCCACTGGCCTGTGATCTTCCTGCCTTCGGTGTCATTGCATGTGTTGCGTGAATCTGAAGAGGAATTT